TAGAGGTCATCTAGAAAGCCTCCATCTCTTGCCTCCCCTTCTCCTTGTACTCTTTACTCCTACCAGAGTGGTACCTTCTATGTAGACCCTCCATCTCCATCTTCACCTAGCACATTCTGCTCAGTCGTTGAATTCAGCGCAAGGCCTATCTCCCTCCGAATGTATTTTTAGGAACCCCCACTCTTTTAGCACCCCATGCTTGTCCCCTAATGCTTGTTGATAATGGTAAGCTTTCTGGTTTAAATCCCTCACTGAACTTCAGCAAGTGATACTTATAAGATAAATACCAAGTTCTACCCTCAAGAACCTTCTAGATATAGGGAAACAATCCAGTATCTTCACACAGCCTCAATGCCCTGTCTACCCTGGGCTCCTTTTGCTGAGGCACTTGGTTCTGTCAGTGTACCTCTGTAAGTATGGTACCCAGAGTGGGGCACATCCTCACTCACAGCCCACCCAAAACCACTGCAACAGAACTCAGTAGCTGAGCCAGAAATAGGAGCCAGAAATAGGATCCAGGTTTTCAGATCCCTAAATGAGTCCTGGTGTAGTGCTGTGGGTTAATGTGCCAGACTGCAAAGCCGTTTGAACTGCAAGGTTGGCGGTTCAAGCTCACCAGCTGCTCCTCAGAAAACTTATACAGGGTTGCTATGGGTTGGAACTGACTGGAGGGAACTTAACAACAACAACAAATGAGTCATAAGGTAGCTCACAAACCTTATTTAATACTGGATTAGTCACAGGTCCCCTGCCTTTCTGGCTCCCAACTTCACTGTTAACCCCCAAGCAGCTGTCTCACCCCAGTGTGAGACAAAGGCACTGTGGCATAAAGACCAGCAGGAGGTCCTCAGAGCAGGGTGCAGCTTGGCTGGGGAAGGAAAGTACACCTTCAGGTCAGACCAATTCATTCAACAAGGAAGATTTACTGAGAACCTACTTCCTGAACTGCAAAGCCGCAGTTCAAGCTCACTAGCTGCTCCTCAGAAACCCTATACATGGTTGCTATGGGTCGAAACCGACTCCATGGCCCTTAACAAGACCACTAACAAAGGTCACATAGCATAGCTGTTGATAGCATAGGCCACCTGTATACCAACACTACCCTTTTGAAATGAATCTACTGTTACTAGGATCACTTACTTACCTGTTTCTCTTTTCTGAGAGGAAAAATATATTTTCATAAATAATATTTGCTAATAACAAAGGTGGAGTCCAGGTGTGGTGCTATAGGATAAGCCCTGGGCCACAAAGGCAGTTTGAACCACAATAACAATTGTTGTTGTTGTCAGGTGCCATTGAGTCGGAACCAACTCATAGCGACCCCATGCACAGCAGAACGAAACAATCCGATCCTGGGCCAACCTCACTACTGCTGCCACACTTGACGCCATCAATGATGCCACCTGGCTGATCCATCTCATTGGGGGTATTCCTCTTTTTCTCTGACCCTCCATCTTACCCAGCATGACATCCTTTTCCAGCGACTGTTCCCTCCTGACAATATGTTCAAAGTATGGTAAGGCTAAAACACTGGCAATAAATATGTCTTTGGGGGCTGATGGTATACCAAATCCTCATTTCCCTTTGTTTCTTCCCTACGTGCTGTGCACATCACAGTAGGCACATCTTTCCACTAGCTTTTCATTACCTTTCCTTAGGTTCAAATGTGAGTCAAGTCTGACTGTCATACAGAAAAACAAATACTACCCAGAAGATAAGTAATGACTCTTTTACAGAAAGTATGCACTAATAAAATTTTAATATCATAAAACAAATCAAAAACAGCATTTTTTAATAAAAAAAAATCATTCACAATTAAAGTGGAAAGAGACAAAATTATAAGGCAGCCATCCATGGAATGATTATATATGTTTACAAAGGATCCAGAAAAAGAGACATTTAAAACCACTGTTCAGGCTACTAAACTGCAGCGAAGACTTCCAAATTGCTGGAAGATCCCACCAAAAAAAGGCCCCAAGGCCAATCTCCTAAATGGCTGTCTGTCTAGTTACAAATTTCTTTCTGGTCTCCTGAGATAAAGCTAGATAACTCAGGAACAAAAGTTTCCATTTCATAGCATTTCTAACAACTGCTCTTGGAGCAACGTGAACCATTCTGGATTAAGCAGAATTTTCGGATTCAAGGACGTTTCCCTTGCAGAACAGTCACAGAGGGCTCTCACTTGCACTGGGGCAGGTCTGGATGACTCCACAAATTGTTCTCAGTCTCCCCACGCAGGAATACTCTTTGGTGTTCTGCATTATGCATTCCATGCCTAGCTACCATATGTTGTAGAATGGGCTTCAAACCAGATGACTCCAGTTTAACACCCTACTTTCTGAGAATTTGCATTTCTACCCTAGATATATAGAACCAAGAATCGACATTTTGACAAGATGCCCCAGGACCTTATTAGATACTCATGGATCCCTAGGAGATTACTATATATACCTGGGAAGCTTGTAAACATGTCGATTCTGGGTTAGTACATCTGGAGTACATCTCAGCAGGGGTGGAACCACACTGACTGGCTGGAAGTCCTGGTTTTAGGGGCTTAATACACTTTGATGCTGGTGTGTCTTCCTAGTTCTAACCCATGGGGAAAACCAGGTAGTGACACTCAGAATGAGGCTGGTGAAGAAAGACAAGTACATTTCCCTCCTTTACAAAGAACAGTAACTCCTAACAAGCACCTCTCTGCTTTATTTCTGATGATTCAAAGTACAGAAGCAAGGCTGATTAAGCTGTTGTGAACTGGAAATGAAAAAGGTGCAGTGTGTGTTGTTGGAGAACACACAACCTGTGTGGTAATACCTTTCCAGTTCCTAACCTTCAGCTGTAGAACCCTTGCCTGAAAAAAAAACACAAAAAAACTTGACAATAGCTTACACAGAAAAATCAAATCAAACCTGTAGCATCACTGTGCTGGTGAATGAGAACTGATAAACAATTAACTGGAGAATATGTGAAGGGAAATCGATCAGTAGTGGTTTGCTTTTCAACTTAATCTGCCATTTAAAAGAGTACTTGGAATCTGAAGGAAGTCTAGCTCTAAGATCGAAAGGTAGTCAAATTGCAATTAAGTTTAACTTTGGCTATGAGGAAGGAAAGACTGCTTTTTGTCAACTGCATCTCTTTGGTAGCCAATAATTCCATTTATACTCAGGGCACACTGCCTGGGTTTTTAGAAGTGTCGGAGCATTAAGGCAGCCACAACTGAGGAGCAAAGGGAACTGCAATGTGCCAGTAAGTGGGTACCAGTCTGGCCTCTCCTGGGACACTGCCCTATTGCCTGGCTTCCTGCTGCCTGAAGGTTAATATGGCTCTTTCTGCCTGCTGACCATGAGGAAACGGAGTAACTCTTGAGGCAACAGCTTTAAAAATTAGGAATACCTAGAGCTCCTAAGAGCTGATGGATCTTGAAAGGTTTGCTTGTTGGTGGTAAGGGGAAGGCAAAGGCGGAGTTAGATGGTTCAATCCTTGCCAGAGTCCAAGGCCTAACTGGGCAGGAGACTTCAGTCAAACTTGTTATGTGATGGCAAGGCACTGCTGCAAGAGGCCTGGGTCAGCAGAACAAACTTTTGACCACTGCTCAGAAAGGTATGGTAGAAAAGTACTACTATCCAAACTAAACCAGACACTAGAATGTGCTATGTAGTAAGTTTCTAGGGAAAATCAAGGCAACTGTGTAATTCTAAAGAACAAGATAAAGCTCCATAACTCTGCTAAGTCTGCTGCTATCATCTAATCAGAAAAGTCACTTTGACTTTTCCATGTTATATCTTCAAAACCATTATCCTTTGTATGCTACTTTGCTCTGCAGCCAGCAGAGGGCTCACAAATTCCAGTTCAAACAGCTGCTGGCCCAGCATCAAATCTAAAGCAATCATAAACATGCTGGCTTAGGCATCATAGAAAATGTTTTATTTTTCCTAAACCTACTACCCTAAAGAAGATCTCCTTGGTTCCCCTTTTATGTACTGTGTTTTGAAATGGAACAGAAAATCAAAATAAATTAACAATATAGTATTATACACTTATTTGACAGACTAGGACTTATAGGGATTTTGGCAAGTATAGAAACATTACCCTAGTGTGTTAAACACTTCGGCTATCTCAGTTGTTTCTATTACCAGAATATTAATATGTCAACTCATTGAAAAGTTGTAAATGACACAAAGTAAATTCTTTGAAGGGAAAAAAGAATAGAGACAATATTATCTTCTTCATCACAGTTCAAGAAGTGGTTGTTCTGATCAGAACTCAACTCATGGAAAGATTAACATCACCACCAGCAGTGAGCATCAAATGGTGGCGATAAAAGGGGCTGGCAGGTAAAGTTCGGCGTGAAGCATGGGAAAGATGGAGACAAGAGACATGATTTCAATAAGCTGTCAATCAATAGGCAACACTTCCCACTATGGATGCATCCTTTCTGCAATGTTACAGACGCTGTGTGCAGGGGACCAAACACTCCCCAGGTTGCACCAAGTATTTTACCAGAGGGACTGCCCATCTGCTTAAAGTAATACTTACAAAAATTAAAAGTACATCATAGTTTCCATAGTTTTACTTCGAAAAAGGTGACTACAAAGAAGCAACTATCCCAACTAAAATTTAATCCCCCTAAATTTCCAAAGACACTCTGTGAGCCTGGCTGCTCTTAAGGAAAGCCGAGGCCTGGACCTACTAGAATGTGAACCCTAGGTGAGAGTGTATGGGAGGCAGGTATTCTGCAGTAGAGGACTAGATAAGAGCTGCTATAAATACTAGCCATTTCTCTAGCAGTCAGTTCCCCCTTGGGGCTCCATCTGATGGGACGGCAGGCTCGATTTCAGAGAGGCCGTGAGATAGGCAGTGTTGGTCTCTGCAGACGTCGCCTTTCAGTGGGTCTCTCTCCTGAGTATAAAGGCAGCTCTCCCAGTATATCTTGCTATCGTTTTCCTGACTCGAGCCCAAATGAAATGCAATCACCTTCTAAGACTTCAGGCACGATGACCTTCCATCAAGGCATGTAGCATAGATGCCAAAAGCGCCAGTCCGACACGGTGAGAGTCATGTTAAAAATCAATGGACAAAGTGGCAGAGCCTCTAAACTAAGAAGAAAGAGATCTAGCTTAATTATGGAACACTGTACTGTCATAATTACTATCTCATTGTGAGTATGAAGTTCTCTACTTTTCCTTAGAACTAATTCCATCTTCCCTGAGAATAGGGTTAAGAGAAACATCAAAACTCAAAATGTCAAGGCCCTTTTAAAAGACAACACAAGGGAATGTCTATATTGAATCGCGATGTGTTGTTTCTACCCTAAAAGCTTTTCTGTTACTCCAATTGTGAATCTCACCTCCCTCCAGTCTCTAGGAATACAGGTGAAGGTGGGCAAGGTGAGACATGAGACTGAAGAAGTGAGGAGCTGTCATGTGCTGGCTGTTCCCACTGGATGGCAAACAGCCATGGACAGAGGCTGGAACCTGAACACTTAGTGCTGGTGGCCTACTGACAGGATGAGTGGGATGAGGCAACCCAGGACCAGGACGGCCACTTCCAAGCGGCTGAGGCCTTTCCCTGCAGGAGCGTCGGACTTGTGACTGTGGCCCATTCCGCCCACCTCAGGGAGGACATGTACTGTGGCAACGTAAAGAAATGTCCCGGCAGAGAAAAGCATGGCCACTCCAGTGGCATTGACCTCTGAAAGGGCTTCTTTACTGCTCTGTGAATAAAGAGAGAGACACACAGACACAAACACACACAGAAAATTAAGTCACAGTAAGAAACATTCAGTACTCATAACTGGTGCTGCCTGGAAGATTAGAGCAATTTTATGTCATTTATAGGAAACAAATAAGGGTACAAAAACACTAATAAATATACGATTGCTTTTCCAAAGTTCTATTAATGCAGATATTCATTTATTTACTTATATTTAACAATATTAAACATCAAAATATCCCAAGCCCACTGCCAGTGAGCCAATTACAACTCATAGTGACCCTATACAGGGGTTGATGAGACTAAATTTTTAAGAAAACAGACAGCCTCATTTTTCTCCCTTGGAGTGGCTGTGGGTTTGAACTCCTGACCTAGCAGTTAGCAGCCCAACATCTAACCCACAGCATCACCAAAACCACACTAAATCAAACTCACAGCCATGGATTCGATCCCAATGCCCAGCACTCCTGTATAGGGTTTCTGAGGCTGTCAATCTTAACAGAAGCAGAAAGCCTCCTCTTTCTACCGCAGAACCGCTGGTGAGTTTGAACTGCATGCTGACCCAGTGGTCAGCACTTCAGTGCTTATTCTACAGTGCACTAGGACTCCTAAATGTTGTTGTTGTTGTTCTGACCCATAGTGACCCTGTATAGGGTTTTCAAGGAGCGACTGGTGGGCTTGAACCAATGAATGACCTTGCAGTTCAAACCAAATTTGCAGTCCAACGTATTAACCAGCAGTGCCATATCAGGACTCTGAAATTTTATTAGTGCCTCTGTCTTTATAAATAGTGTATCGATACACCAGGCACTAGTCTAGGTGTTTGGGATATAATGGTCATCAAGAGGTAGTATCTGCCCTCACAGAAACATCATTTAATCTTTATACAATTATTTATAACTTAATGAATTTTAAATGTGGGCCTATGGATTGAGATGATTTATTAAAATCTCAAGAGAAGAACATAAGTATAATATGGAACTCTAGGCCTCCAGACCCATCAGTGTCTTCTTATCAAAAGTGTTTTAAACTAATATTCATTAATAAAGTGATAAACTGATAACATTTTTAAAAGAACTGGACATTGCTTATTGAATGAAAGAAGATCAAGCTCTTTATATGAACAAAAAGGGGTTTTATAACAATTTATTTATTAGCAAACCCTTGAGTAACAGGAATTGAACCATTCACTGAAGTCCTGCTGTGGCTGCAGGACAAGTACCAGACCACAAGGTCGGTTTGAACCACAAGGTCGACAGTTCAAACTCACCAGTGGCTCCTCGGAAACCCTATGCAGGCTTGCTAAGAGTCAAACTGATGCAACAGCGCTTAACAACAAATTTATGAAGAGGACTCGGCTGGAATTACAGAGTTCAGTTTGTCCAGGCTTTACTCCTAATTTTAATCTTTAGTCTGAGAGGGTAAGAGGGTAATTGAGTTGAAAAATTCATCATACGAGACCCTAAGTTTCAGCGGATGACAAAAGTATCCGGTGATTGTCAAGACAAGCTAGATATGAGTCAAACTCACCTTACTCAGTCCCAGGTATGTTACCATGGACATCACCGGCGCCGCCAGTGCGAAGACCAGCAGGTGTTTCCTGATTCGGTTTCGCTCCAGGCCAGCGTGCATCAAGAAGGAGACCAGCCCAAATGCAGCTGGTGCCTGGTAGGAAAACAAAGTGTCCCTGTTTGTACTCCAGCTCTGTGGATTACTTCCTCATCAAGAAATATGTATCAATGCTTAATTCTCATACCAAAAATCAAGCATGGTACCTACATTGAGCTCTGTCTTTTAAATACATGCCCTCATAGAGCTTATTAAAAAAAAAAAAAAAAAAAAGTGAGTAAAAATTACTATGAAAAATAGAAAACTGCATAGCATTTTAAAGTTGCTCTCAGCAGTTATATGACCACAAGAAATAAAATCACTCCAAGTATATTTAAGAAAACGGTAGCAAAAAGAGAAGCTATGAACAGATTTATTCAGTTCTCCAAAATGAACAGTAATTATGAAAAAAAAAATTTTCTCATGCAATATTACACCAGTCCATAGAAATGTTGACAAAGAGAAATTTTAATTAGGAACATGGACAAGATTAAAATAAACCTCACGCCAAAATTCTGCTCACCTTATGTAGCATTATTGCCACAAACACAATTAACTGGACGCTAGTCTGTGAAGTAGAAGCTGCTGCTCCCAAAGCAACACCATCAGCTAAATTTGGGAAAGGGAAACATAAAATACCATAAATATAACAACAAGAACAACAGTGTAGGGGTTGTGTGTCTGGGCTTTAGAGTCAGACAGAGCTAGATTCGACTCTGGGAAGGTTACTGAATCTTTCTGAAGCTGTTTTCTATCTCTGACATTGGTTCGGTAAAGTTCATGAGGATTAAATGAGTTGATGAATGTAAAGAGTTTAGTACCTGGTTTGGACTAATGTTTTTGTTATTGGAAAAAGTATGTTGCTCAAAAACCCACTGATTAGCTCATCAAATTTCAATAATACAAATATCAATGCAGAATGGCTACATTCCAAAAAATTACTCTTGGACATTGAAATTTAAGTATCATATAATTTTTACCAGTCACAACATATTCTTTCCATTTCTCCAATCATTTAAAAATGCAGAAGTCCTTCTTAGCTTGCACACCCATTTCAGGGCATGACTAAGTGTGCTGGGGCTGGTGCTGGAATACGTCACCTGGTTCAGCACCCTTACCTCCTCCCGGCCAAGGCCAGCCCAAAAATATAGCTATGGATGGTCGTGATAATATAAACACTAAGCCACCCACTTTGTGAAAGGAAAACCAAGGGGTTCCACTGTACCCCAACCCTACCTGCAGCATGGACGACCAGTCCCAGTGTGGTGGTGATTTTGGAATTGCTGGGTCTTGTTGCTTCTGGATCTGAAGTTAAAGACAAACATTAAGCAATAAGAGAAACAGTTAAAGCACTGGCCTGAAGGGGGGAAATTATTTGAAAGCTTTTAAAGTAGTACATAATTTTCCTCACGGCTGTCTCTTTTCTTTCTGTTTCAAACACCGAGAAGTTCCTCCTGTTCTGGAGAGAAGAATAGAAGGAAACTCTTCATTTGACCCAGCCTTCTTTTAATAGACATATTCTTAGGACCGGTAACCCCTACTACCTCAAACTCCTCACACTTCTTAGCCCTCTACACCTTACTCTCATTTCTCCTAATCAAATTCATCGTAGACTTCCTGATCAGACTCATCTTCCTGGAATATTATCCTTCTGATGATGTATACGTGAGTGAGGTAAGAAATCTGCTGTTTTCCCAATTTAGTTCTAAGTGCTCTGCTAAGTGGTGATATAGAAGGTTAAACACTGGGCTGCTAACCACAAGGATGGCAGTTCAAATCCACCAGCTGATCATTGGGAAAAAGATGAGGCTGTGTGTGCCCATGAAGATTTAGTTTCAGAAACCCAGTTCTATACTGTTCTGTGCAGTCACTATGAATCGGAACCAACTCAACTGCAGGGGGGTTGTTCTATTAGGTAGGTTGTTACGCCATTTGTCAACTGTAACATCTTACTTTGATTCCAACTCATAGAGACTCTGGAGGACAGAGTGGAATGTGCCCTGTACAGGGTTTCCAGGGCTGTAAATCTTTGTGAAAACAGATTGCCACAGTCTCCTGCAACGGTGCCACCAGATTACTATATGCTACTTCAAAGTTCCTTCTATATCAGCATTTTAGATATTGTTATTAGGTGCTGTCGAGTTGGTTCTGACTCATATCGACCCTATGCACAATAGAAACACTGACCGGACCGTCACCATCTGTTGCTATGCTTGAGCCCATTGCTGCAGCCACTGTACCAATCCATCTTGTTGGAGGTCTTTCTTAGATATATAAAAACTTAACATATTTTATACTTCCAGATTTACTATAAAGAATTAAAATTTCTACCTTTTTAAAAAATGCTTATTGTGGTAAAAAATATATACCAAGAACACTTGCTATTTCAACCATTTTTACACATACAATTCAGTGACATTGGTTACACCCATCATGCTGTGCAATCATCACCACCATTTCTAATTTTTCCATCAATCTTAAGCAACACTTTCCCAGTTCTCCCTCCCACCTGCCCCTGGTAACCACTAATAAACCTTGTTCTCTATCTATTTGTCTATCCAGATATTTTATATAAGCTGTTGTTGTCAGTTTTGATTCAGAGCGACCCTGTATAGGGTTTCAGAGGGGCAGCTGGTGAGTTTGAACCACCAACCTTGTGGTTAGCCATCCAGTATTTATCCTACAGCGCTATATCAGGACTCCTTCATGTAAGCAGGATCATACAATATTTGTTCTTTTGTGTCCAACTTATTTCAGTCAGCATAATGTTTTCAAGGTTCATACAGGTGGTAACATGTGTCAGAACTTCATTTTTCTTTATGGCTGAATCCCATTAGTGGTGCAGTAGTTAAAACACTCAGTTGCTGGTAGTTCAAATCCATCAGTCCCTCTATGGGAGAAAAATGTAGTCATCCGTTTTCATAAAGATTGTTGTTAAGTGCCCTTGAGTCTTTTCCGACTCATAGCAACTCTATATAGGGTTTCCGAAGAGTGGCTGGTGGGTTTGAACCACCAACCTTGTGGTTAGCAGTCTAATATTTATGCTACAGCACCACACCAGACACACAGACTTGGAAATCCTCTGGGGCAGTTCTACTTTGCCCTGTTGGGTTGCATGAGTAGGAATAGACTGGACGGCATGGGTTTGGGTTTTGTTTTTGTATTTTTGGTATGGCTATAACATATTTTGTTAACGTAGTCATCTATTGATAAGCACCTCGGTAGTTTCCACTTTTTGGCTACTATAAATTGACTTCTTTTTTAGATGTCTTACAAAACACAGTACAACTCTGAGCACTAAAAAACTTCAATAAATCCTCGTTGGAGAATGAAACAGTTATTTGTTTACATCACATGAAGATGTTACTGCTATGATAGGAAATAATCAAAGAATATCCAAAAGATACCATCAAATGAACAGATGTGGACATCAAAATACAAAGTGACAGCTGGGCATTAGTCAAATAAATTCTGAAGGTCTATCACAATGGAGGAACATGTTATCTTCCTATTAAAACTCTGTAAGGAAGGGAAACTGAAGACTCAAATTACTCTAAGGCAACAAATATTTCAGTATCATCCCAGCTTGGAAAGAACAATCATATCACACTGTGCTACAAGCTTGTTTCAGCTTCTCTTTATACAAAGTGAAACACTGCCCAGTCCTGCACCATCCTCACAACAGTTGTTACAGTTAAGTCCATTTTTGCTTCCACTCTGCTAATTCATCTCTTTGGGGATCTTCCTCTTTTGTGCTGACCCTCCACTTTATCAAACATGATGTTCTTCTCCAGGGATTGATCCCTCCTAATAATATGTCTGAAGTATGAGAGATGAACTCTCACAATCCTGGCTTCTAAGGAGCATTCTGGCTGTACTTCTTTCTCCCAACATACACCTGTTTCTTCTTCTAGCAGACTTTTAAAATTCTTCTCCATCACCATAACTCAAATATATCAATTCTTATCTGGTCTTCATTATGCACTGTCTAACTTTCACATGGATATGATGCAATTGAAAATGCCATGGCTTGGGTCAGGCATACCTTACTCCTGACATCTTTGCTCTTGAACTCTAAAGAGGTCTTGTGCAGCCGATTTGCCTAACAATGCAATACATTGTTTGATTTCTTGACTGCTGCTTCCATGAGTGTTGATTGTAGATCCAAGCAAAATGAAGTCTTTGACAACTTCAATCTTTCCCCTTATAAGTTGTTGTTATTGTTGTTAAGTGTCATTGAGTCAGTTCTGACTCACAGCGACTCTGTGTAGTTTCCAAGGAGCGGCTAGTGAGCTTGAACCGCCAATCTTGCAGTTCAAACTGACCTTGCAGTCCAGTGCATTATTCCACAGTACCACACTAGGATTCCTTTTAAAAGTAGCACCCCAAATTAAAAACTGTTGTTGTTGGTGGTGGGAGTAGGGTTTCTGTGGCTGTAAACTTTTATGGGAGCAAAAAGCCTCATCTTTTTCCTGTGCAACTGTTGACCTTGAAATTAGCAGCCTGACTTATAATCAGTAGACTATCAGAACTCCTTAAATAAAAATTAGTGGATTTCAAATTAACACACAGTCTTTACAAATCTATAGGAAAAGACTCTATTTTAAGTAGCATAAATTGAATAATGGAGTTGACTTTGAACTCATATTTCATAATGCCTAAAACTCTACAGAGAATAGATAAAATCAGGGCACCAGACACATGAAAGCAAGCAAAACGCTACCTCAGAGATGAAATAAGACTAAAGGAACACATGTAGCATTTAATTCTTTTGCCAAGAATTACAGGACATTAAAGGTCATTTTAAATTGAAACTGACAGGAATTATAAGAAAATGCCAGAGAGGCCATGATGGGAAATTAGGCAAGACAGTTGGAGTCAGATGCCATCCAAGAAGAGTACTTTTCTCTTGCTCAAGAAATAAAGCATATGAATAAAGCCATTTACTCCTAAGTAAGTTTTCCCAGATAAGACACTGCTCTGGTAGTGTAGGGGTTAAGAAGCGGGCTGCAAACCACAAGGTCAGCAGTTCGAAACTACCAGCTGTTTCGCGGGAGAAAGATGAAACGTTCTGCTCCTGTAAAGATTTACAGCCTCAGAAACCCTGTACAGGGTTGCTATGAGTCGTAACCGACTCCATAGCACACAACCACCACCACCATTTAAAGAAAAAGGCTGTGAAAAAAAATTAAAACCATGTTTTTGTTTGTTTTTATAGCAAGAGCCCTGTAATACAGGCAGAGGCACAGCATGGCCAATTGACAAAGAGTTTTATTAACCTAGCTCCTCCTCCATTTCCCCTTTACTGGGTACTTTGGAGTTTACAATCTTCTGTATTCTTATTTTAAAAGAGTCTAGTAGGTCAAACTAGTCTCTTACTCTTCTCAGAGTTTACTTTTGTCATGCCAACCTGCTACCCCACCCCCAAGATTTCCTTAATTCTGAAGATGGATCACCCCAACAGCTATTGCTCACAAATTCTCCCCTTTTAACTTTACACACATTGGTCCATCTTCATTTATACTTCTCAAATCTATTTAGTGCCTGTTGGCTCGTTTCTTTATAAAGTGCATCATTTCTCAATGTCCCTAAGAGTACAGCTAATTATGCCTATGTTAGGTTGCATCATATTTACACCTGATATACTTAAAACATGTATAACCAAAAACACACTGGCCCCATTTTGTTCTTATATATCATGAATGTACAAATCATAAATACTTGATGCACACATAAATGTCCAAAAGCCAATCTCCAGCCCATAGGTACATAGCCTTATTCAGTTTGTGGACCTACATAGCCTTATTCAGTTCGTGGACCTAGAGTTCATAGCTGCTCCATGTTACCACTTCTGCCACCATCTCTGCTGTCGCTGCTTCTTCAAGCAGGGATCCCAAGTTCCACTCATGCCCTTCCTTCTTAATATCCTGGGATTGTCCGTTCCTGAAATGAAAAATAACTATTCCCTCCTTTTAGTTAAATATCTTCTACAATTACAGTTCTGACCATCACAACTAATACTACAATTGAAATGATACAATCTCATCAGCATTATTCCATACCCCCTTTCACCAAACACATCTGGAAAACAGCAAAACCAGTCAGTGGGGCTTTTCCCTTGACCCCTCATTCTAAAACCAAGCACACCCATGAAAATTTGTCAAGTCAGCCACTTGTAGCAATTGTTGTTGTTAAGTGTCACTGAGTCGACTCAAACCCCTAGCAATCCTGTATATGGTTTCCGAGGAGCAGCTAGTGAGCTTGAACTGCCAACCCTGCAGTTCAAACGGCTTTGCAGTCTGGCA